TATATATAAATAAAAAAACACAAACGTACACACACACACACACATATATATATATATATTTCTATATATATATATATATATATATATAAAATTAGTTATATATATGAATACGATATTTAAAGAAAAAATAATAAACAAATTTAAACGAAATGTGTCTGTTTTTAGTGTTAGTTTTTGTGTAAGCTACCAATTAAAAGCACAATAACAAAAATTCGATGTGTGTAAAACGAAATTATATAAATTATATATATATATGTATATATGAATATATATATATATATGTATCAGTTGGAGTACAGTGAGGCCAGAAAACCATGTGAGCAACGCGCGCTGCTGTTAAACGTATTTATGCATTAATTAAATATTATGTTTCAAAACAAAAATCAAAAACTAATGCAGTAAATTTTATTTTTTTTTTATGATTTTCTTTTGCGTGTATTTATATTTTGTATACATTTTTTTTTTAACTAAACGAAATGTGAATTTTCTTATAAGCATATTTTATTTATATACATATATATTAATTATAATTTTTGTAATTTGCTCGCTTTTATTTTCTATGTAAAAAAAAAAACAAAAAAATATATAAACTAAAAAAAAAAAACAAATACATATTAACAAATATATTTTTTAAAACCTGTGTTTGATTTTCTAGCGCGCTCGTGTGGTTCATATCAATAAAATTAAAAATAAATAATAAAAGAGAAATAAATAATTAAATAAAAACAGACTAAACAAATTTCTAGGCATAGTTTATTTATGTAAATGGCAATGTAAAAAAATGCAAAAAAAAAAACAACAACAACAAACAATTGGCCCAATTTGCTCAACAGAAAAAAAAAACTATACAAAATTTAAAAGAAAACATAAATAAATTTCTTAAAAAACAAATTTCCGTTAAAAACATTTTTTTTTTTTTTTATAGTTGAATTTTTTCAAGTGTTTAGTTTAACTAATCAAAGACAGCCCTTAAAAGGAAGCAGAAGCAGAAGAAAACACTTGCTAAACTAATAAAACAAATACATATATTACAATTCTTGATAATAAAAAAAAACAAAACAAAACAAAAAATATCTATATTAATTCATGTGAATCAAAAAAAAACTTTAGTTTTTATTGTAATTCCGTGTCTGTGTGTGTATTTCAGTAATTAATGTAAAAATACAAAAAAAAAAAAAACAAGCAAAAAAAAAACAAAAAAAGAAAATAAGATGAAACAAAGAGAAAAAGAAAAGAAAAAAACACAAAAACTCACAAAAAAAAATTGCAAAAACCCAAAATACAAACAAAGAAAACACTGAACATAAAACATAAAATGAAAACTAGCGAAATAAATAAAGTGAAAACATTTCAAAAAAAAAAAAAACTTCCTGTGTAAATATTCTGTCTTTTGATCGTACGCATAATTATTGAATGAGCCCAGGCGAACCAAGGTGAATCCAGGGGACTTAGCTCAAAGTCAACCAAGTTGAATCCAGATGAACCAAAGGGAACCCAGATAAGAAGCTAAGGGAAACCCAAGGTAAATCCTGGTAGATCAAGGGGAACCCAAGGAGAAGACAGATCAAAGGGGAGCCCATGAGAACCGCCTCGTTGCTCGTGTCTGGCTTTTGGAGAGCGAAGAGCCAGACGGTGGGAAAAGCCAGATGAAAAGCCAGGCTTGAAATTTGGCGTCGCATTCAAATGTATGGGCGTTACTCATCTTAGTATTTATTACATATTGTCTCTGGCCTTACTTTCTGGTTGCTAATAGTTATGGACTTAAGCTCCTCTGCCAGCCTGATCTTTATACACTAAGACAAAAAAGTTTTAGGCATATCAGAAATGGTTGATTAATGAACTTATTTGGCTAAGTTCAGCCTGCAGCAACATGAACTATATATACGAACTATATCAAATATATTATCAAATAATTATGAATTATGAACTATAAACTATAATCTATGAGCTATGAGGGTATTAAATCTTCGGCATGCCGTAAATCCTTACTATCTGGTTGGAGCTGGGTTTCCATCCTGACGTACCCAATCTTTGGCTCGTAACTTGGTTACTCAAATTTTGTTCACTTTAATATAATAGCTCGGCATCGAGGCTTAAACGTTTATTAAAAAAAGCATTGATTTACTAATTCTCAATTTTTTTTTTGTTTTTCAGGATTTCGATCCTTACACTTCGTGCTTAGTAAGTCCTACGCGATTCTCAAGCGACGGATTGAGCCATGCCTAGGCATAATAGATCTGACAAAAATACTCCAAAATAATCCCTATAGAAAATTTATGCGGACTAACTTTAATTTCCAGGTTTGTCCTCCTTAAAAAAAAAAAAAATCGTTATAATTTATATTTAGCTCTATATATAAAACTGTTTGTCCTGACCGTAAGGGCTGGGCTATCGGGAAATTCTACCTGCATATCTGGAACAATCGCAAAAAGCGTTTGTTAACCATCCGATCGAGTTCAAACTCATTTTCAAACATCTTTGAGAGAATTTATTTACAACGTGCCAGGAGCAAGGCTGGAGTATACCCGCTATTATCCTATATAGACATAGTCCGAAATTTCCCAATACCATAACTCGGTCAAAACTCAACCCGTTTTCATAAGGCTTGAATCATTGTCCATGGCTTAGCCTCAAGATCAATTAGGCATCTAAATCTGGCAATATGTCAAATATCCTATCTAGACATTGGTCAAAATTTCCCACCCTCATAACTCGGTCAAAACTAGACCGATTTCATTCTGTTCATTGTTTGGCCTCTTATTCAATTTGGCATCTTAATCTGACAACATTATTTTTGGTCAATATTCATGGGAAAATTGTACCTTCAAATATCTTATATAGCCATTAGTAGAAATTTCCCACTCGGTCAAATCCTATCCGATTTTCACGAGGTTTGACTCTTTGTTCATGGCTTGGTCTTTAAATCAATTTGGCATCTAAATCTGACATCCTTGTTTTTGTTGCAATTCATGTGAAAATTTCACCCCAAAATATACCAATAATAATTATTAGACATGGGTCGAATCCATAAGAATTCGTTTTTGAAAATTTAAAAGCAATAGTTTTGATCCTCTGGAACGATTCTGCATTAATATTTAAGAACAACACTTCTTTAATCAAAATTCAAATAACATTTTACTCTGAAATATGCCAATAATACCAAAAATAATCCCGTTTAGACCTAAGGTCGAACCTTTAAAAGAACCAGAAAAGTTTTTTTTATTATGAACATTTTTTTTTATCGATATAATCGATAAAATTTTGCTCGGAATATACCGAAATTCTTTATTTTATGGCTTAATCTTTCGAAGATTTCTGCATTTAGATTTGACAACAACAAAATATACCAAAATAATCCCAACCAATAGTTCAAATTTTCCAATTGAATTAACTCTTGCCAAACTGAACCGATTTTTATGCGCAATATCCCTAATTTCACACGTTTTCGGAAAGAGCGAAGAACGTTTTTGGCATACAAAAAATTCAATTCCTTGATTTGATTTTGTAATATTCAATATTTATTATATAATTTGCTTCTCATAAACTTTATGTAGTGTACATATAATAGTTATGTTAAGAAAAAAAAATTGTTGCTTAAAACTAATTCAATGTGTTACGATAAACTACTACGAATTTTGAATACACTTTCATGTGTGTGTGTGTTTTTTTTTTGTATTTTTGTTTTGTTTTGTTTTTGTTTTTTTTTTTTTTGTTTTTTGCTTGTTTTTTTGTGAATGTTTAGTTCAGAAATTCGTGTAAAAATTCCAAAAAAAATTTCCCATTTTCTCAATTTTTGCTCAAGGAAGTACATGATGTGTGTGTGTGTGGGGGTGAGTGTGTAGTGGTGTGTGTGTGTGTGTGTGTGTGTATATATGTATATAGAATAAAGGCCATTAATTTACAGTTTTTGAGTTTTTGTTTAAAGCCTAACGAAAGTTGGAAGAGAACTAATATATATACCTCTATATATGTATACGTGTGTGTGTGTGTGCTGCGCACAGGCGTGGGGCGCGGGGCGTGGCGCAGCGCCCGTGAGCAGCAGCAACAAAGCTCCTAAATACGAACTAAAGTTAAGTTGTCTTTTCTTTTCTTTTTTTTTTTTTTAATACCAACACCAAGCGATTGCACAAATAACCCGTTGTTGCTTAAAAAACTATGCAAAAAAAAAAACTTTTATAATTTTACTTATAAGCAAACTGTGTGTATGCGAGAGTGTATGCTGTGTGTGTGTGTGTGTGTGTGTGTGTGTGTGTGGGGAGAACTAAGCGAAAACTTCTACAAATAAAATTAATAAAAAAAAATATATATTAAGATAATGTTGCTTCAGCTGCACAAAATGCTGTTCACAAACAAAGTAAGGCCCATAAGAACTATATATAAATATACGTATATATACGTGTGTGTGTGTGTGTGTGTGTGTGTGTGAAAATTTCAACTTAAATGCTTGCCACATAATTATTACGATTATTATTATTAATATTATGATTATTATTGTTTTTATGTTCTCAGTACAAATTGGTGGTTGCTTCAGCTTTTTTTTAAATTATTATTAATCGAAAAAAAAATCTAGTAAAATTCTAAAGAAATTAAACTAAATTCAATTAATTGTGTGCGTTCGGTTGCGTATGTGTGTGTGTGTGTGTGTGTGTGTGTGTGTGTGTGCGCGCCTTATAAATACATAATAATTAAAATATATTACATAAATGTGTTTTTCGTGTTTTGTTTGTGTGCTTTGACTTCATTTATGAACAGCATAATTTAGCATATCTCTTAATTAGTTATTTAATTAATTCAACTTAATTAGGCTGCTTAACTAATTAAATTTGCTTACATTTCATTTCGTTTTTTTTTTTGTTTGTTTTTGTTCTTGTTTCTTTTTTTTTTTTAATGCCTCTTTACAATGAATTTTGATGCGTTTGTTCAAAAATTCGAATTAAATAAATACAGTACAATGTTAATTTTAGCTTAAGTGTTAGTAACTCTTCTTCTTCCTCTTCTACTTCTTCTTCTTCTTCTATCCGCTCTGCTTCTTCTAACTGCTCTTCTTCTAATTTGTAAATCATTTGTTTGTTGTAAATAAATGCAAGAGTTTTTGCAGCTTGTTCATTTAGCTAAAAACAGCGAATGAGTTTTTGTGTTTTCAAGAAACGATAACTAAACCGATAACTAAATCGATAACTAAATCGATAACTAAATCGATAACTAAATCGATAATTCATTTGTTTTTCTTCTTGTTACCTTTTTTTTTGTTTTGCTTAAAGCATTTTAAAACTAAGCTTAGCCTAAAGAACTACAAAAAGTGGTTCCGAAACAAAAAAAAATTGGTTTTGAATACATAAAAAAAGAAAAAAAAAACTTTGACTAAGCGCATAAAATTAGTTTTGGGACTTGCCCAGCAAAAAAAAAAAAAACCGTAAGAGCTAACAAGTTTTTCCTTCTTTTCTTGCTTTTCTCAATATCAAACGAAATGAAATATTTCAAAATGTTTTTGTTATCGATTTTAGTTTTTTTTTTTTTCTTCCATTTTTGTTTTTCGTGTTTTGTTTTTTTTGTTTGCACAGCAAAGTGTTAAGGGCGAGCGAAAAAACGTGTTTTTGATTTGAAATTCTTGAGCTAAACTAAATGTAAAATGTTTTTCGTTTTTCGCTTACATAGCTAGTAATCAATGCATATCAATATGTAGATGCATATATCTGTATACGATATAACTATATATGATATCTGATATGATTATACATGTACAAAACATAATCTCGCCATTTTCGTGGGGGCAGTTTTCATAAAACTTCAGCTTAAAGTTGAATTTGCATTAACGTTAGATTAATTCAGTTAGTTTCTGTTTGTTTGTTTGTTTTAGTTAGTTTGTTTAGGCTTAATCTACGGCTTTTCTATAGCTAGTTTCCAGTTTTAGTTATGCACCGGCATCGGCAGCTGGCCGAGCAAATTGTTCGCAAACTGCGAATTGGTGAACTTGAAGTGACGCTTGTCGTAGAACTTCAGCAGCGCCGGCGAGAACGGATGATTGTCCTTCAGATGCAGATAGTGCACCTCCGGTTCGCAGGTGGTGTGACCGCACTCCTCGCATACGTACATCTAGAAACGGAGATGAAGAAAAGCTTCAATTAGAGTTCTCTATGCAAAGCAGTTTGACAATTTTGAAAGTTCGTTTTATTTGACCTGAACTGCTTGTGAATCATTTCATTCAACCTTTTCCTTTCTTCTGGTGCCTTATACCTGAATTTTAATGAATGTTTTATGAACTAGTTCCAAGTTTTGTCGTAACTGGGTTCAAACCAGCTTTTTTCTTTGTTTTACTTGGCCTGAAATACTTGCGAATCACATCATTCAACCATTTCCTTTCTTCTGGTTCATTACACTTGAATATTTATGAACTAGTTCCAAGCTTTGACGGAACTGGTTTCAAATAAACATATCTGATTTTTTATCCCGGCCTGAAATACTTGCGAATCACATCATTCAACCTTTTCCTATGTATTTATACAGTTTTGTGGTTCTGTACACCTGAATAATTGTGAATATTTTATGAACTAGTTCCAAGTCGTGCCGAATATGATTTCAAACAGACCCTAAACTGCTTGTGAATTACAACATTCGACCTTTTCCTATTATTTTTGGTTCTCTACACCTGAATAATTGTGAATATTTTATGAACTAGTTCTAAGCCATGCTGGAACTGGTTTCAAACTAATTTATCCAGGCTCTGTTAAAGCCGCATTTGTTAACGTTTTATACGAATACCAAATACAAAGCGCTGTTCTTCTAAAATCCCAGATACTTTAGCTCATATCCAAATCAATTTATCTAGAATCTAAAATATGTTCAGCATAGCTTAAAATAGGCATGATATTTCAGTGATGATTCACTAGCTCGTGACTCACCTTGGCGCGTCGCTCCTTGTAGGCATACTGATGCTGGACACTGTGCACCTTCTGGCAATGCGACTCGAGGGAGCAGCGCTGCGTGAAGCTCTTCTCGCACAGGTTGCACTTGTAGGGACGAACGCCCGTGTGGGTGCGCGTGTGGCGCTTCAGGTCGAAGGTGTCGTTGAAGCCCTTGCCACAGAAGGTGCACAAATAGCGCTTGATGTCCGAGTGGCACTTCATGTGCCGATTGAGCAGACGCTGCAGCGAGAACGTCTTCATGCAGACGCGGCAGACGAACTTGTTGTTGGCGTCCTCCGCTCCGCTGTTGTTGCTGGGGCACAGCGAGTCGCCTTGATTGCTGCTGTTGCTGCTGACGCTGCTGCTGCAGTTGTTGTTATTGTTGTTGTTGTGGCTGCTGCGACTGTTGCTGATGCTGGCCAAGCTGTTGCCGCCGCCGCCGCCGCCGTTGTGCTGCTGGCTGAGCGACAAGTGCTGCGCCTGCTGCAGCGTCTGTTGCTGCGGCGAATGCTGCTGCTGCAGCTGCGGCGAGTGCTGCTGCAACTGTTGCTGCTGCTGCTGCTGTTGCAGCTGTTGCTGCTGCTGCTGCTGCTGCTGGGACGGATGGCCATGCTTGAGATCATCGATGCAATCCATGTTGCGTATGCGGTGGTGATGATGGCCTCCGTGCGTATTCTCCACGGCCAGCGGATTCTTGATGCCATGCCCGCCGTTCACGAACTCCAGCTGCAAGTCCGGCGGCAGGCCCAGCTAAAGGGATGAAAGTCAAAATTGGGATCAAATTGAGTAAATCGCGTTCAAATACAGCTGACAAAAAATCAATTTCAAATACATTTAAGAGACAGCACAAAACAGAGCAAAAGGAACAACACAGCACAACACATAACAATTGACAACATGTTGAGCCTTAAAGGGGCAGTTACAGGGGGGGAACGGGGGAGGAAGGGGGCAGTCTGACAAATTGGCCTGAAAAGTCATTGCAATATTATAAAAAAATATTCAAAACAAACCCACTATTAAAATGTTTAAAGAAAACGTCACGAATGCATTAAAAACGTTCAGGGTAGAGTTTCCGACCATTTTCCACGGCTACGAGTGGAATTGCCCAAAACCACTAAAGCACATTTTTCATCAAGCTCTTCTGTAGAGCCTTGAGTATAATTTAAAAGTCAATCGGAAGAAGCAAACTTTGACCCGAACTTTCCCACGATGAGGTGTGGATTGTGCGAAAAGTGTGAAATTCGTCTCAAGTGAATTTTGATTTGAATATTTTGAAAGTAGCCCAAAACTTTACCTTTTGCCCCCCAGAAGTGGATTTTGCGAATAGTGTGAAGCACGTCACAAATAAATGTTTACTAAAAGATTTGAAGTGGAAAAGTTTGAAAGGCGTCACAAATAAATTTTTACAAAAATCTTAAACAAATTCGTTTGCAGCCGATCGAAGGGTGAACAAAAGAGTTTTGTTTCACATAATCGTTTTCCACGACTTTTTCACACATTCGGGTGGAATTTCAATTCATTTTTTTCCGAACTACTTTCGAGTAGTGTTCATGAACAGGAATTAAGGGATTCAGTGTTGTGAAACGTGACAAAATGAAAAGAATAGTCAAATGCAAAAGCCTAAACGGGGACAATACAAGACACACAGAGGGAGCAAGTGGGCGTGGTGAGAGACAACAAAGGAGACAGGGAGAGAGGCAGAGCGAGAGAGGGAGAGAAGTTGGGAGAGGGGTAACACACACAGACATTTAGGGGGACCGCTGTGGCACCGGCCCTTACCCGCCGCTGTAGCATTTTGCTCTCATTGAGCACCGAAATGGTCGGAGATGGGGGCAACAGGCCCGCTGCCGTCGCAGCCGCCGCACAGGCCAGCGAGCGCAACGTGGTGCGATGAACGTGACGCTGGGCGGGCACCTCCGGCGATGGCTTCACCGTCGAGACAAATGTGACCACAGTGGAGCCATAGGCCTTAGCCTTGGCGCGTCCGCCCAGCTTTGTGCCGTTGCCGCTGCTGTTCTTGTTGTTGTTGTTGTTGTTGTTGTTGTTGTTGTTGCTGCTGCTGCTGTTAATGTTATTTTTGCAGCTGCTGTTAATGTTATGTTTGCTATTGCTGTTAATGTGGCTGTTAAAATGTGTGCTTTGGCTAAAATTGCTGCTGTTGCTGTTGCAATTGCTGTAACTGTTGATGTTGTTGCTGTTGTTGCTGTTGTTGCTGTTGTTGCTGTTGTGGCTGTTGTGGCTGTTGAGCAGCATGTAGGTGAGCGGAGCTGTGTCCACCAGCTCAGCTGGCGGCTCGCTGCTGCATTTGATGGGCTTTAGTATATTTAGGGCACTTACGCTTTGTATCAGCGGCTTCGTGTCGAGCAGGGCGGCAGCAGCAGCCGCTGCCGTGTTTGCATCGAGCAGGTTCGAGCTGCTGCTGCTGCTGCTGGACATGGGGCGCAAGGCGGCGACAGCGGCGGCCGCTGCGGCAGCGGCAGCAGCAGCTGTTGTTGGCGATGGCAGCGACAAGTTGCTGTTGTCGTTGTGATGATGATGTTGCTGTTGGTGCTGCTGCTGCTGCTGATGTTGCTGCTGCTGCTGCTGTTGGTGCTGCTGCTGATGTTGCTGGTGTTGCTGGTGCGCATGTTGTTGCGCGTGATGCGTATGATGTTGCTGTTGCTGATGGAAGTGATGTTGCTGCTGCTGCTGCTGCTGTGCATGATGTTGCTGATGTGCATAGATATTGTGTTGCTGATGGAAATGTTGCTGCTGTTGCTGTTGTTGTTGCTGTTGATGATGCGTGTGATGTTGCTGCTGCAGCAATTGTTGTTGCTGCTGTGCCAGCTGCTGCTGATGGTAGCCGTTGTTATTGTTGTTGTTGTTGTTGTTACTGTTGTGTTGCTGCTGCATTTGCAACAAGTTGCGCGTCGCATGCTGATACGAGGGCGGCGGCTGCTGCAAATGTTGCTGCTGCTGCTGCTGCGCATTGACAACATGTTGCTGCAAATGCTGCTGTGCATTGGCAACATGTTGCGGGGCAGCGCCATAAACATTGTTGTTGTTGTTGTTGCTGCTGTTGCTGCTGCTGCGCGTCATATTGTTGGTCAGCTGCGTCAGCAGATTCTCGTGCAGCGCATCCAGCTGCGCTGCCGCGTGCGGCGTCACCGAGACGGCGTCCGAGTCCGGCGTCAGCGACGGCGTCGACACCAGCTCAAAGTCCTGCCGCTGATGTGCCGGACTGTTATTGTTGGTCGAGTGCTCGTCCTCGTCGTCGACGTCGACGCAGCTGCGCTGCAGAAACGAACTGAGATCCACGGCGTCCGACAGCTGCTCGAGCAGATGATCCGTCTGTGAGCTGAGCATCAATGTGGCCGTAAATTGTAGAGGATCGACGGCGCCGTTTGGGCACTGCGCTGCGCTGCTGGCGGCCAGATCGGACATTATCGCGTCCTCATACGCGCTGGCAGAGAAATTGCTGCCGTTGCCCCCAGCAGCAGCAGCAGCAGCGACAGCAGCAGCGCTGCCAACGCCGCTGCCAACGCCCATGGTGGCCTGTATTATATTCTGGGCAAATGTGCCAATATCTATTTTGGCCTCATCGTACTCAATATCGGGCTCATCTTTCAGTATGATGCCGTAGGCTGAGGGATTGCCGCCATAGAAGGGATGACCCACAGTTCCGTTGGAATGTAAATTATGGAATTTGGAATTGGAATTGGAATTGATATCATTATAATTGCTGTGGCCCAGATTATTCGCAAAGTTCAATATGTTATTACCATCGAGGCCAACAGCAGCTCCAGCTCCACCACCAACTCCTCCGACTCCTCCGTTAACCCCTCCTCCTCCTCCGTTGCCCCCTCCTCCTCCTCCTCCTCCTGCTCCGCCATTACAGTTATACTGCTGGCCGGACATTAGGTATGCCGCTGCCGCCGCGTTCTGTATGAGAAACTGCGAGTTGCTGTGCAGCAGCTGGCCGTGATGGGCGCCCGTTGTGGGCGTGGTCGCCTGAGCGTCGCCGGTTTGGCCGCTCTTGAGGCTCTCGTAGAAGGGCGGCAGAGCGCCGCTGGGCGGTGAATTTGGTCCGTAATTGCCGCGTCCGTCACGGCCGCCGCCCATGCCACCGCCGCCGGCGCCGCTGCCAAAGCTACTGCTGCCGCCGCCGCTGCCGCCGCTGCTGCTGCCGCCGCCGCCGCCGCTGCCGGGCGTACCAGCGCTGCCGGCGTTCTGATTGCCGCCGCCGAAGCTGTTGCTCGTCTGAAAACCCTGGCCGGAATTGCTGCTGCTGCTGCGTCCGTGACCCGCGGCCGCTGCCAAGATGCCGGGCAGACTGCGCACCAGGCGCGGATTAAGCTGCAGCACGCGCGCTGCCAAATAGCTGCTGCGTCGACGAGCCTCGCGCACGCGTCGCTCGCGCTGCAGGCGTCGTGCGTTGAGCTCCTCGTCGCTGTCGTAGCTGGCGCTGCGTCGCTTCGGCACGTGATAGTCGATCGGCTCCTGTTGCTCTGGGCCCAGCTGTTCGAGGTCGAGCGTGCGCTGGTATAACAGTTGGCGTTCGCGCTGCTGCTGCTGCTGCAGCTGTTGCTGGTATAACGGTTCGCTGCTCTCGCGCTGCTGCTCTTGTGCGGGCGCCTGCGGTGCGCGCTGTATAACGCTGCAGCGTACGGCGGGTACACGCGGCGGCGGCGGACTTGGTCTCTGATCGGCGCTGGGCGGTGTGCTGCGCATGCGCAGCGACAGCGGCTGATCGACGGGCAGCAGCGGTTTTTCGTCAACAATCAATTTGCAGCCGTCGTCGGAGTCGTCGTCGTCGTCGGCGTCGCTGCTGCTGCTACTCTCGTTATTGCTGCCGCTGTCGACGTCAACGTCTACGTCAACGTGTTGCGTCTTATCTTTGATGTTGCGCTCGAGCGGATATTCCTTGCGCTGCGCCTGCGTTAGAACAACGCCTGCGCCGTAATAACGCGGCTTTGGCGCCTCAAGGCCAACGTCAACGTCAACGTCGGCGTCAGCTTCAGCATCAGCTTCCTCTTCGGCGTCGCTGTTGGCGTGCGGCGCAGTCGCTGGCGACGGCGGTGGCTGCTGCTTTGGGCTGTGTTCGTTTTCTTTTGGTATGCTGCTTGTAATTGTTGTTGTTGTTGTTGTTGTTGCTTCTGCCTCCTCTTCTTCTGCTGTTAACGAATTCTCGTCGCAGTCTTTTGTAGCTGTTGCGGGGGGTATGGGTATGGGTGTGGGTGTGGGTGTTGGTGATCTGTTAATGTTGTTGGTGGTGGTGGAGATTTCTGCTGTGGAGCTGTTGCTGCTGTTGCAGCTTAAACGCTGCAACAATTCTGCTGGCGTTAAACAGCTGGTATTTTCTGCAAATAACAAAATAATAAAAAAAAAAATGTAATTAGTCAAATGCGCAATTAAAATGATTTATTATATATCTATAAGCATAAATATTCATGTATGTATATATGTATGTATTAGTGCTGCATGCTCATCATGAGTTTTACATTCGTTACGTTATAAATGTACAACGGCAGTTGCCCGAAACCGAGCGAAAGGGAAAAAACGAAACTTAAATAATTAAATAACAACGAAATCGAAACCGAAATCAATATCGAAAGACAAGCGACAAGAATTAACCGTGCAATCGCCACGACGATCGTTTGCTAACTGTAAGCGCATCTCCTTCTTTCTCCTTCACATATTCATATTCACAAGAAATGCACGAAAACCGAAAAATAAAAAACAATTCTGTCGCCAAGATCATCCTATTACAGTGAACGCTCGAAATAGAGAGCTGCAAGAATTGGCCATTGAAATTGATCAATTGCATTAATTACTTAATTTATACTATGTTATATTGCAGTTGTTAAGTTGTTATTTTTGCAATAACAAAATGCCATTTTTGAATATAAGACATTTATGGAATAAGACACCAACCGGAAGAGTTTTATTTGCGAGCGTCCACTGTACTTTTGTTCGCAACAATTTTGTCACTTGAGTGTGTGTGTGTGTGTGTGTGCCTGCTCTATATTTTTTCTGTTCATTTGGATTTCATAAGAAAACAAACGCATAACTGTAATTGCAAAGAGTTGCCAGTGCGTTGAAAAAATTTGCCTACGCTTTACCACCTACACACACACGCACCTGCAAATATATGAATGTATGTACATATGTATATGTGTTGTTCTCTACGTCTTCCCCTTCTAGAAAAAGTAAGAAGCAAAGGCAAATACGCAGCTTTGCAGTGCGTCCATAAAAATAACTTAATTTGTTTCATTTGCAAGTTCAACAAATTACAATTGAATAAAATGCATTAAGTGAACGCCAACGCGGGCATTGTAAATATAGTGAAGAGTTTTTATTTTAATTAAACGCGAGTGTGAAGAGCAAGTGCAAGTGCGAGGCGCCGGTGCAGTCGCCCTCGAAGTCGACGCGTCGTCAAAACGGGCAAAGACAAGGTTGCCAAACACGAAAAAGAAAAACTAGTCTTGGCTGTAAATCGAATCAAATCAAATCAAGTGCAATAAATAATAGCAACAACCATTACAACAACTAAAACAGTCAGCCCCATTCCCATTGCAATGGCAATCAAGTTGGTGTCGACGTCGCTGCTTTTGCTGTTGGCGGCCGTCGTTCTACAAGTGTGTGCGTGTGTGTGTGTGTGTGTTATGTGCTTGTTACGTTCATGCGATCAAGATCAAGGCTTTTTGCAATTGCTTTGTGTATGTGTGTGTGCGTGTTTGATGTAATGCAGCGGCATTTGTCAATGAACAAGTTTTCTGTGCGTGGGCGTTGTTGTTGTTAGCCCTTCATAATTACACACACGCAGACATATGCGCATTTAATTGCATGCAAAACGCGCAGTACCAATAATTACATATGGTAACAGTGGCTGTTGTGTGTGTGTGTTATTTTCAATGCCCAACACGCACACAGCTGCTGCTCAGTGCTGAGAAGCAAGAAAAAAAGCTAGTTTTTCAGTGAAGAGTGGTTAGAAAATATTTTATTAAAAAAAAAAAGCAGAACAAAAAATGTGCTAGTTTGCTTAAAGATAAAGTGAAGAATCAATATTTTCTTAATTAAGGCGAATCAAAAATGATCAAACGCTAAAAAAAGGCTAGAATTCCAGCCACTTTTGACGAGCCAAAAGCGGAACTGACAGCACATCTGCTACTGTTGCTTTCTGCCTGTCGGTCAGGGCCGTCAGTCGTGCCAATGGGCAGGGGGGCGGGGGCTGCCTAAATTCTAACTGTCGCATGCCACTTAACAGCGCGCGCCGCCGCTGCACAGTTAACAGCGGCTGTAGCCTTGAACGTGCGCGCAGCCGTTTAACATTTGAAGTTAATTTTTTTTTCTGCCCGCTCGCCGCAGACAATTGTGATTTAACATAATTGATTATTTTGTGCGGCTGCTTTGGCACATTTAAACGCACATTTTGTTATGGTTATATGCTATTAATTTGCTTTTAAAATTAAATTCGTATGCCAACTGCAACTGGTCCCGCCCTCGCGTCCGCCCCGCGGCCCCCCGCCAACCATTTGGTTTAAATTGAGCGTAAAATGTTGGCTTTGCCATTTATTTATTAATGGGCTAATAGCAGACGCCCGCCATTAAAATGCACATGCCACGCCCAGCGGCCCACTAGCAGAGAAAAGCAATACACCATTCCATATGTACACTTGTCTATACATATGTACACACATACATATATTCACCTTATTGGTGTTCTGTTAACTTAACATGCCCGTAAGCTGCAATCTGTTCTACATACACACATACACACTAAACATGATCAGCTGCATAACGAGCTGTTAAAATGGCTATGCCTTTCCAGTTTTTCAATTTAGTTGTTGTAATTGCCGTAATTAATTTTATTGTGTTAAGGTCAAGGCAATTGTAAAAATGCTTTATAATTACAAATACGTTTTACACATAATGAAATGCGAAAAAAGTGTTTGTGCTTGTTTGCTATGAGGAAACGAATTTTGTTTTTGTTGCGGTTTTTTTTTTGTTCAATTTAACGACAACAACAATAACAGAAACATTGACCTCGCCAACAACAACAACAATCGTAATTTAACATTGCTGCAGTAGAACAAAAGTTGACGAAAGTTCGTGTGTACATACATACATACAAACATTATCATGTGTCGGTAAGTTTTAACAGTTAAGTTAAGCTAAACTTAATAGTCTTATGTTTTTCTCGCTGGGCGAAAGTTCAATGCACGTTTTATCCTTTACATTAATTGATTTCCATGCGATTTGTTTTTACTTTATTTTTTTTTTGTTTTTTTTGTATTTGCCCGTTGCGTGTGCTTGAACTTTTAAGATATTCTTGTTCTCTCTTCTATTTTGTTGTGTCCTCTTCCCTTTTGGTCTAGCGCAAAATGCGTCTTAACGAAACAGCTTTGCATGTGTGCGTGTATATGCATACACATGTGTGTACGTACAAATCCACATGCACGCACAAAATCAAAGCAAATACAGCGATAGTGCCGTAGTTTTGTGTGAGCGTGCGTGTATGTATGTGTGCATGCGTATGTTAATGTGCATAACAAAGCGTCGTAGTTGTTGCCCAGAATTTGTAATACTTTTTGCGCCTTTTGTTTTGTTTCCATTTTATTTTTGACTTTTTACATTTCTGCATGCTCTTTGCAGCGGGAGGTGCTATACACCTAATCAACAGAGTTGGCAACAGATTTATCTATCTATGCAAATTTAATTTCTTTTAACAGCATGCCTGTAATTTAACTGTATAACTGACACAGCAAAAACTTCTGTTAAGCTTGAGTTAAAATTTCTTTTAAAAATACATTTCCAATTGGCATGCCGATTAGAAGTTAAGTAAGGTTAGCAGCCCACTTAATATAACAGTCTGGCTGTGAAGCCTGGTTAGCTTATCGGTTTGGCATTGCTGTTAATGCAGCTAGTTAACAGTAACTGTTGTATGTTCATTTAGCATGGCTTTTAACATGAAAGTTGAGCTGTTGAGCTTATGTTTAGGGTATGCAGAGTGCGACTAGCGACGTATTATTTTTTCCTTTCTTCTATTCTATATCTATGCGGGTGTCGTTCAGTGTGTTTTTTTGTCGCTTTATTTGTTGTTAATTTTTTTTTTTTTGTAATTTACGCGACGCCCACCGCAAACAGCTGGCCTGCAGCCCGCGACTGCCCCTCAACTGTTGCTCTTAAGACCACGGAAAACGGCACAAAAAGTCAACATTGAAATGTTTTGTAGGTGTATGAGATGAGATTTTGTTTATGCCATTGTTACTGTTATTGTAGTTGTTGTTGTTTTTGTTGTTGCTGTTATGTAGAGGCGAATTCCAAACGCATTCTCTGGCTAACAGCACATGTTAAATTCCCGGCATGCACGACGATGACGACACTCCTCGACGCGTCCCATCTATCACCCGATGCCTAGCCCAAGCATCGCACAGCTCTTGATGTTGTTGTTGTGTTGTTGTTGTTTTGGTGTGCTGTTCTGTGTGCCATTGCAAATGCCAAACACGTCGCCAAGCGGCTCTGCCCATATATAAACTATACACACACACACACACACACACACACACACACACACACACACACACACACACACACACACACACACACACACACACACACACACACACACACACACACACACACACACACGTTCACATTCATAGAAACAAACAACATGAGCTGCTTCAAGGGTCGCCGCTTTATCGAGTCACCCAAAAGGGTTAAAAGCATCGTTGGCAGGGTTAATGTACACAGCGTTGCCATATGTTTAACAATTGTATGCCTTAAAAGTGAGGTTAGCTTGAATAGCGTCATTTTTTGTATTCGCTCATAATGTCGCTGTCTTGTGTCCAATGCACAAAGTTAAAATAAATATGTTATTTAAAAGCATGCGAAAGTGCATATACCAAATTTCATAGCTCTAGCTGTTATTGAAGCCGAGTTTCAGGAGTTGGTTTTCGAATTTGTGGCTACAAAAATGCCGCCCTAAATCTTTTTTTCTTTATTTTTGGTTAATAATCAAGTCAAGGAGAAATTTCAATTATTTTAAAAGAGAACTTTCATTTAAAATATTTTTAAAATATTTAAAGATTTCAAGCTTCTTTTGCCTAATAGGCCAGACTTTGCAATAAATTTGATTGCCAAACACATTCAAGAGCACACATGCCAAAGTTTCTGGCTCAAGCTCTTAGAGTTAAGCTCAGTTATGTGGGCTGGCTGAAACAGTTGAAACAGATAAAGCTAGCTTTTAGTCGGTTCAGTTAAAGAAATAATTGCACATCTTACACAAGCGATAAACGCTCTATTAACAATGTCAACTTGGCCCTGACCCCGTCTTGAGGCTGCACTGTGGGGCAAT